GGCAGACACCCTGTCTACTTTTAAGGCTAGGCTTAAAACTTTCCTTTTTGATCAAGCTTATAGTTAGAGGGGTTGCTTTGTGTGGCTTCCATCTAGTCCTAACCTGCTGGTCCGCTTTTTTCCCTGTTTAGGCTGTGTTTCCACTCCTGGGTGAGCTACCTGTTTAGATTTTAATTTACTTTACCTGAATCTACAGCTTTTCTAATGGGTTTCTGGTTTAGGGTTGTCTTGGAGCCGCAGTGCTTTGGACGCTCAGCTGTCTTGTTTTGACAGTGTTTGTTTGGGCCGCTCCCAACAAAACCTACTGCTGCTTGGACAGGCTGAGCGATCGGGGCATGACTCCTCTGGCCCCATTGAAGGGCATATGAAATTGGACAATGACAATTTGTTCCACTGTTTAAAGTGTTGTTTTGTTTGTTAATTTATTTTTTTTTTGGAATAATTTGAATTGCCCTCATTTCCTATGATCCTTGGCCTAAAGCCATGTTTTAACACAAAGAAATGTTTTAATGAAATTGTAAAATAAAATATTGTAGACCATCCTGTGTTCTGGTGCATCTTGTTTATAGAGTTACCCCCTTTGCGGATCAAAGACTGTTTTCCCAATGCCAGCCACTGCCTTAGTCATCACTGTTCTGATTGGCTGATCTCTTCCAGTAGGGCCTCTAAAGATGTCTTCTTGTTGTTTCTGGTCTGTGTGTTTTCCTGGATGCTGTTTCAATCTGTCTGACCTCATGTTCATCATTGACCCCCCCAGTCCCTCCCTCTGTGATGTAGAGCTCTGTGTAGATCTGGTTCAGAAGGGTTGGACTTCCTGCTTTAGCGATCCCCTCAAACACAGACTGGAACCTCTTCTTCAGACTGGATTTAAGTTTAGGTTGAACTGAGGACAAACGTACTGAAGCAACAGAGAAATCTTTAGCACTGAAATTATTCCTGTCAATAGATCATCTGTTCTTCCTGCTCTACTGACTATAATACATTCATCATTTATCCATCAGGTTAAACCTTTATAGAAATCCTCTTACTGCTCTGCAGACGATCAGCCAGCTCCTCCTGCTTCATCCTCCTCAGGAAGTTCAGGGCGATCTTCACCAAAGCCTCTGTGCTCCTCCTCTGCTCTTCATCCTTCTCATCCTCCCACTGACTCTCCAAGCCTTCTGGATCATCTGCACTCAGAATCTTCTGGATCTTCTTCAGCTCGTTCTTCACAAAACAAATTATGTTTTCCTCCAGCAGCTGAACAGAACAATAAATGAAGGACACATCAGACTGAGATCATGGAGCCAAACATCAGATCCATGTTGGACAGACTGACAGTCCTCTGGTCTACAAAGTGCAGCATGGAGATGACTGTGAACAGAACCTATGGAGAAGTAGTTGTAGTTCATGTACAGACCATAAATATAGAGTCCAGCTGGGTTTGATGCTGCTGGGCAGATGGACCACTGGGAACCTCTGAATTCTGCTGGTTCCCTCTGTGGAGGAACCAGGAAGCATTAACTCACATTCTGTAGAACAAGAACCAGACAAAGAACAAGGTCTTATGGTGTCCTGCTCCAAAAGCTAAAAATGGGGATACCTGTCACCAAAAAAGAAGCTCCTACCTGAGCATTTTGAGTTGCCATGGTAACTGTATCAAAGCACGACTGATTTCTCAGAGTTCCATGAGTTCAGTTGTTCCATTTACTGAGAACTTTAAAACTGAACATCCAGAGGAAGTTGGAGCAGATTGTTCACCAGAGCTTCATTTGTGGACATTTGAATTTCATCTAAAACTTGTCTTTGTTAGATCAACAATGTCCTATGTCAGTACTTTTATTGCTTTGCATCATTTTTATATAATTTTTTTCACCTATACCAATACATTTTACTGCCACATTAGGTCTCATTTAAAGAAAAGTGTGTTTTTAACAAAACTGTGTGTGTGTTAGAAAAATGTCTTCTCATCAACCTTCCCTCTCTAACTTTACTGAAGGATCAGTAAATCTAATCCTAGTCTGTGATCAGAGGCTGCAGCTGCTCTGTTTCAATGACTGACAGGAAGCTGGAGACACAATTAATAAACCAATTCCTGATTAGTTCATGAAAATATTCCAGAGCAGCAGCCTGTGTGAGAACAATTAAGGCAAGTTAATCAGACAGAAAAACATCCAAAGGAAGGTTAGAGGTTTACTTCCTAAAATGAATCTATTTGCTTCATGATAAACATGGTCCAACATCTGCAGAGAGCTAATAGGAGGATTCATGGACAGTTTTTTATTTACAAATTTAATTTCTTTTATATTTCAGTTTCAGATTGAAGCAAAAATAAATTAAATACAATGAAAACAGGCTGCTGAAAGGGAAGTTTAGGTATTTCTAAAGGTAAATTATAATTTTTTTTTGCTCCATATTTTCATCACCAGTTAAACATTTTATTTGCGCATTTCTATCTATTGTTTGTGTTGCTTCCTTAGAGTTATTCTGTTTAAAAGTCATCTGAATCAATATATGAACTAAAACTGAGTGAGAAACATGTAGGAAACACAAACTAAATCAGCAGTAAAACAATCCACTAGACTCAGAAATGGAAAAAATCTATTCTGTGCTTAAATATTTCTATAAAATTATTCACCTGAATTATGACTTCAACTGAAATCAGCCTGACCCCTGCTGGACCAACAGGTGAGCTACACACACTTAGAAACACCTCAAACAATGTTTACCCTGAACCCACTGGAGACTGAATTAGTGGAAAAAACATCCAGAAGAAGCAAACAGTTTCATTAAAAGGAAGAAAAATGTGGAATTAAAAACATTTCAAACTGAATCAGTTTAGTTTCTAACAAAACATTTAGACAGAGCTCAACTGTTTACATCTGGAGGTTAGTCTGATCTAAAATAAATACTACGACCCTTTAACCCTTTAAGGACACACAGCTAGGTTCTGGTTTGAGGTTCTGTTGGATTCTGAAGGAAAAAGCCTGAATTCAGTCTTAGTCTAATAATGTATTTAACACTAGATGTCCTGGAGAATTCCAGTTTTCCTGCAAGGGCCCCTCCCCTCTTCAAGTTTGTGTATTCACTCTACCTTGCTAAGTGTCCTTGTTGTAATGCTAATAACCTGTGATATGACCAGCCCTTCTACATGAGACTGGATAAAGGCTGAAACAAACTGCTATCAGAACAAGAGCATGCTCAAAACACTTTTCATTACCTTCCCCTGAAACATCAGACCTTTTTGCAGGAATAGCTTGATAAGTCATATCTAAATTTTTTATTTAGGCAAACCTATTGAACAACCAGATATCATACGGGTGCTAGTTCCTGAGCTGAGAACAGGTCATAACCATGCTTTTCCAACAAGGCAAGGCAGAGACTATTTATATTGTCCATTCACCAACAGACTCATTTATATTTTTGAAAAGCTCACTATGTGAAAGAAAGAACAACTTAGAGAATAGTTGTATTTTGTCTGTTCTCACCTTTTCATGTCATTCAACATTTCAGCTTAGAGAATGACAAACACTATGATTTCAGTATAGCAGTAACATTTATTTCACCCAAGGAAAAGCACTACATATGAAGCTACAATTGTCCCATTTAGCAGCTTTTACAAACCCAAGGTGAGTCCTTCCTGTATTTGTGACAGGTATACTTTGTGCAGTGCACACAACGCTCAGTGCTTTGGTTCCTGTTGCAGAGATTGCACATCTGGCCTGCTTGTAATAATAATGAAAAAATCTTTAAAAAATAGAGTTTAGCACATTTTCCCAGAGTAAGAGAGTAGTATGAACTAGATGAGGTTATCTATGTGTGCTACAAGTTTTGTGGCACTACAATGATCTATAGTGTAATTATTGGCTATTAAATGCTTATAATAACAACGAGTAAATCTCCAAAAATACAGTTTGGCCTATCTTCCTAAAGTAAGGAAAAAAAAGAATGTTAGAATTGTAAATATACAGTCATATGTTTATATTACTATTTTTAAGGTATTCATTAGTTTTCAGGCTGCACTTTAAAACATGAAATTGTCTAGAGCTGTTCTAAACGAAATTTCTTTTTGTTTACACTTGTGTATACAAAATGACAAAATAAATCTAAGTCATAAGTAATTATTGGCTTTTATATTCTTATAATAACATTTTGTAGTGTGAACTAGATGAGGTTATGTATGTTTGGAGGCACTACAATGATCTATAGTGTAATAATTCACTATTATATGCTTATAATAAGAGTTGTAATATGATCCAGATGAGCTTATCTATGTATCCTACAAGTTTGGTGGCACTACAGTGATCTATAGTGTATTCATTGCTCATTTTATACTTATTCTAATTGTAGAGGCACTAATAATAGAATAGAGGTTTATTTGTTTATTTGTTTATTTATTTGGATCCCCATTAGCTGTCAGTAATTTGACAGCTACTCTTCCTGGGGTCCCTTTAAAATTGTACAGATACATATAACATTTCAAATGATCACATCATAAGAACCACGATACATTTCAAATTATATCACATTACAGTACAATATGTTACACAAATATTCATATATTAAGGCTATCAACAGTGTTTTATTAAAAGTGTTTGAAATGCACCTTTCGAAGTAGCAGTCGAGATGTTATGAGGCAGTTTGTTGCACAGAGTCACAGCTCTGAACAGCACAGACCTGCACACTGCTTCTGTTCTCGGAATGGGTCGAGTCAAATGACCAGAAGCTGCTTGCCTGGTTGAATAATTGTGCTCATTTCTCACATAATGTAACAAACTGAACAAAAGAGAAGGTTTTCCACAAACAATA